CCCCCACCGCACCCCCACCTTCGCGTGGCCCTGCCAGCCCCCTGACAATCCTGCCCCCTACCTGGCACAGCAGGACCCCCGACATTCCAACAACTGCAGACGCGGAGGGAATGTGGCACCAAGAAAGGGGTAACCCCCACCCCAGGACCCCACGGCCCAGCTTGCCCATGAGCACCCAAGGGTGTGGAAGAGAAACTCCGTGGGGGCTTCCTCCAACCCAAGGGGGTCCCACCACCCCGTGACAAGTGATCCGAACACACAACAGCCACCAGGGGAACGCGGGAAGGGAAAGAAGAGGAAAGCAAACCCTGAGGCGAGGAGGCACCCACCAGGATGTTGAAGGGGGCGACACCTGCCTGGGTGCTGGTGGGGGGGTAGCCAAAAACCTCCACCTTGGGGTTCTTCACTGTACAAGAAACGGAGAGGCGGTTGACACGAGCCTCGGGCATGCCCAGTTTGCCCTTCAGCACTGAATCTTGGATGACGGGGAAGCTGGGAGACCTGCGGGCACAGAATCCACCCACGTTCCCCAGTTTGTCACTGACTCCTCTGTCACCTTCAGATGGTTTTTGGGAGCAACCTCCACCTCCTTGGGCTCTGATAGGGAGTAACAGCATCAAGGGGAGACTGAGGAAACTGAGGCACGGTGCCAGGTCCCCAGGCATCTTGGGGACACCATCGGGGTCTTACTTGGGGATGGGGGAGAAGATGCTGAGGCCAGCACGAAACTTCTTGATGGTGCCGCTCGTCTTGAACCAACTGTGCCGCTTCTCCTGCTGGGTCTTCAGGAAATCGTTGCTGAGATGTTTCCATTGCTGGGACGTGAACATGCCCAGGATCCTGGCAGAGAGGTGACATGGGTGCCTGAGCAGGGTGCCAGCACCTATGGGTGCTTGGGTGCCCACTGAGCCTGACGCTTGGGTGGTCCATGCCACCCAGCTTCTCCTCTTCCCCACCCAAATCCAGTGGTGAGCCTGTCATAGGGCTGCGTGGCAGATAAAAGTTGGTGGAGCACAGACATGTGCCACCTGGCTGGTTTGGGGGCAAAACGGTGACCCTGTGGACTGCCCCACCCACCACCCTTGGGTGCCCACTGCCTTTCAGGTCTTACTTCTTCAGCTGCAGACCCAGCCCGAAGCCCTCCTTGTTGGACGGCTGGAAAACCTCGATGGACGGTTCTGCGTGAGGAATGAGGGTGAACAAACTATTTGTGCTGCCACTGTGCCCATCCTGAGGGCATATGGGGACAACTGCATCCCACTCGTACCCACTCACCGGGGCCATCGAGGTACTGGGAGAGGGAGAAGCGCAGGCGGAGGACGATGGGCTCTGTCCGCAGCACCTTCCACGCCGTCGCCACCTCCTCCTGCCAAGGGAGAGCCATGGTTCAGCATGGCTGCGGGAGGGAAATCCGGGGCCTGTCCCCACTCTCCCCACGCCAGCGCTGCCGGGGTCACCACGGGTGACTCACATCGAGGAAGCTGATGTTTACATGGAGGTCGATGTCCACGTCATCGATGGTCCCATACTCCCTGTGAATACACGTGGCATCATGGCAGTGGGGCAGGGACATGTATTAAGCAAGGGTGCCCCTGGAACTGGGGTGCCCCACGGACAGCAAGGCCAGGCCAGGAGGTTGGCAAGCAGCAGGAGGCCACTCACCTGACAGCCACGGCATTTTC